ATTTAAAATAAATTTATATAAACTTTTTATTGTTTTGCATAAAAATTTTGAGTTTAATATTGGGTAAAAAAGTGTTTGGAAACTTTTGGCGGGGTCTATAGATTAAAGTAGTTTACTAATTTGCTTTAATAAGTCCTACATTTCTAGCAAATGTGATCATTTCTGGTGACAACCTTTTTACCAAATTCAACGCCTCCTCTTTTCACTTAACTTTATTATTCTTATATTTTCCTTTTAGTGGCTCTGTAATCTCCTTGAATGCTACGTCAAACCATTTCTCTGCTTCCTTTAACTGACAAAGTTTTAAGTGTAAGATTGAAATTTGAAAAGTGGGAGCATTTACGGGATATGGCAGTCCAGATGCTTTAAATAAGTAATATATCTCCTGCATATCAGAGAGGGATTGATAAATATTCCCATTTGAGCGTGTAACAAAGCTAGAGTTGTCTTTATTTCAAATGATTGTAAATCTAACTCTGGATGTTCTTTTCGCAACACACTTAATTCGAAAATAACTTTGGCAAATTCTTTGACGAGAGAAGGATCAAATTTAGAGCCATCAAGCAATGACTTTGCTCAAGGAATGAGAGACTTTTCAAAAGTTTCAAGGATATTGACCCGACGAAGTCGAGTTTTATGCAAAGTCGACATTGACAATCTATATCATAATTTTTCAGACGTTTAGATCGTATTTCGTATGAATTTTTGGGACAACAATAGCTAATATTTAGTTCCTCATCCTTCAAAATAGGTCTCCATGCTCTTAAAAACATTAAATCCCCAAGACACAATCGATCAACATTTATATCAATGCATGAGTGATTAAAATAAGATGGCAAGATCCATAGCCCTGCTCCAGTTCCGTTTCTTAATGTGTCTTTATCTTGGATATTTTTCAAAAATTTCCATTTATCCATTGGGTCGAAAGCATTATAACTAATGATTCTATTAATTTTCATTATATCCACTGTAAGTAACGAGTCTTCATATAGTTTTTCAATGGGACCACCGTATAGCTGATACAATTCTCGGCAAAGATAGGGTTCTGCCATAAGCTTATGAGCAATGTGATTTACTAATTCTGATTGTGCAGGACCGCTCATGGTTCTATTTAAAAAATCAATGCTAAGAATTGAGGAAGCCTCATTGTTATACACTATTCCGAATGCTTTTGAAACCATCAAAAGGGTACGTTCAGGAATGTCACGTTTGGCAAACCAACCTTTTCCTTTACCCCTTACAGGACGAATCTCAATATCGTCATTTAAGTAATCGGCATGGTCCAACCTCGGTCCATGTTCACAGATCCAATTACCATCGCTTTTTTTTAACTTTAGCCTTTTCACAAAACTCATCAACGATATGTATATAATCATATTCATTCCGGTTTTCATTTTCCAACATTTTTGCATGCTTAAGCTGCTTAATTAAGGTAATATTACCTGGCAGTCTTTTATGTAAATCTTGAATAGTGATGATGGCACCCTGATAACGTTTTAAACCACAAAGAGCCTTGCACTTGCGAATTCCTGCTTTTATATGTGCAGGATCACGTTTGAGAACATTTTCCACGTCAGAGAGAGAATTTCCGAATTGATTCAATCGCAAGTATGCCTCTGCGCGATTAGCAATTAATGTTACATTATGTGGCTCCAGTCTGATACCATTCGAATATTCATCAACAGCTTCTTTGAAATTATTTGACTCAAAATAATCATTCCCACGACGACGATAATCATCAGCAGTTTGTTTACACGTTTTATTGTGCTCTTTACTTTCCGATAGATCTGTACACTATTTCACCCCCTTATTTAATATATTATCGTGATTAATGACAAATACTTCACTGGGGTTATCGAAACGAATCATAGTTTTAAGATCCAAACCAATCTTATAATAAGGATTCTTGATTGCAAGTTTAGTACCAATGGGTAGAAACTTTGATGTTTGTTCGGTGGAAAGTCGACCTTTGGCAGGAATAGCTGATGAATGGATCCAATTATATAAACAAATTCGCTCTACTTCACCCTCTGGATCTTCTACGAGAGTTGTAAGAGCGTTTAGCTTTATACATTTACTTATAACTTGACATAACAAAAATCTGCCGGTATGCACTTTATCAAGTTGTAAGTTTGAGATAGATATTCTATTTTTTGGCCGTAGTTTGACATCATGAAAATTTCTAACGTGTCCTAGATTGCTAGTTGTGATAGTATGACATTCCTTATTACTAAAAATCCGTAACTGTCTTTCATGTTCTGCAATTAGATATTCTTTACTTTTCCTTTGCGTAAGTATTCCGTTTATTTGAGAAAAAATATTTTTCAATAATTCATCCGTTGGATGGGTTGTTTTGTTAGGTTTTTGTCTAAGAAATTGAATAAACCGCCAAATTGTATTCACCAACATATTAAATTTGTACGTACTTTTTTTCACCCGACAGACCGTGAGAATTTTGTTAGATGATAGATCATATTTCAATACGGTGTAACTGTTTGTATGCCGATCATTTTATTCAGAAAAAATTTATATCGTTAGAAAGTTGAGAAAAAGAGAATCGTTTTCTAAAACCTTTTCAACAGTAATAAAAATTCCGACATTAATTATTAAGTTGGGTTAATTATGAAATCATTGAATTGATTTGAGATCAACGCCTTCTCTCTAACGATGAGAACAATTTAATGAAGCTGAAGTACGCGTTGAACCAGATGAAAGCGTTATATCATTGGTATGTTTTAGGAATTTATCCTTCGATTTATGCAAATGAAAGGTTGAACATCTTGCTTCTAGATCCGCATGCAACGTCTTAAAGATAAATTAGTTGTTGTTATCTTTTTTATAAGTCTAAAATTTATTTGATTTAGTAATTAATATAGTATAGATAAAAATTTACTGGTAGTGTTACGATTAAATGCAAATTCCGGCCGAAATCTTCATAATTTCGTTTGAAGATCGCTCTTGATAAATGCAGTAGTCCCTTTGACGATCATTTGCCAGTTTGTCACGGTGCCAGTTTGTCAAGATGCCAGTTTGTCAAGGTGTCAGTTTGTCAAGCCGCCAGTTTGGCTTAATTAATAATCTTTTATAAATACAAGCCGAAAATCTAAAAACAGCTCAATATCCACGCCCGCCTTTAATATATTCCTTTGACAATCATTTCCTTCGCTATATTCCCTTTACACCTTCGCGATAATTTCGATTTTCGCCTTTTAAAGTTTATAATTTCGCATTTTGTAACACAGTTTATTGTTTTATTTTTAATTTCCGATTTTCATTAGTAGTTTATTATACAATTTTTATGTAACAGTTTCGTAATTGCGTAGTTTTAATTAATTAGGACTTAGAAATTGGCATTTATTTAGTTTAATATATTGAAAAAGCGAAGTGTAGAGCGCCGACGTTGAGGCAATACTGACTAAATTTGACATATTAAATAAATTCTTGCAATAATTACTTCATTATTATTCAACAATTACTCAATAAAACCTTCTGCTTACATTTAAAATTGTTTATAAATACATAAACGAAAGAAATGAATACATCAATACTATAAAAAAAATACTCAAACTCCATTACACTGATTGCGAAAAGCTTTTTAATAAACGTTCGTTTTGGGATTGATCTCATCATTGTGATTCAGCATGCCTATAAAATCAAGTCCCTTAAACATTCGACAACACCATTGAGAAATATAAGTTTTAAAATTCTATCGGACCTTATATTTTACTGATAAAAGAAAAGATGTTTCAGCATATTAAATCAATTGTAATTTATAATTTCATATTTTGTAGTCAAATTTATTGGCAATTTGTTCTTTTAAACCTAAAATATTTAATATATTTTAGTAATTTTATACTGCGGCTATTATTATCAAATTTATGTTGCACAAAACATGATTTCCAAAAGAAATTTATACTCGTCCGCAGAGATAAGTCTATAAAAAATGATAAGTCCAAATGAAGGGAAACAAAGTTTTTTTTTTTTTTTGCATTTGAGATCACCAAAAAAAAAAACTTAATTTAAATTCTAGAATGAGTTTGTCCACCAGTGAAATTTTAATTATCACATGCGACAATAGCTTTTTTTACAAAATAGTTTATTTTAATTTGCATCGTCATATATTTTCCTATTGACTTTTTACAAACTTTTGAAAGTTGAAAATTTACGTTCATGATTACTATTTATTAATCTTTAGTGTGCGTCAGTAATATCCAATGAGACTAGTTTGTCTTCGTCTCGAATCAAAAAATTTTGTGTTAGTGTGGTTTCATAATTAACTACATTTCATTTGTTAAAAATCTTTTCAATTCATTATAATGGTGATTTTCTTAAATATCAATACACACTTATTTAAAGTCTTTATGAAATTGGATGGTACATTTAATATCGATATCTTCGCCCAGAATTGCAAAACTTTAGAATGAAAGATATTTGTATATTAAACAAATGATTTTTTTAAAAAAAAAATTCATATAGACCTTCAAAGTGTCATTCCTAATATACCATTTACCTCACCTCCTAGAGCATCGATTGTATAAGAATTTAACTGTAGATCTGTTATTATATTTATTCACAACCAAAATGTCGTGTTCTTTCATTATGATCATATAAAAAGGATGACTCCCTCATTAATCAATCTTTAAAGTGGAAATGTACCTCGCGAATCATTCAAAACTTTTCATGAGTTAAATTATAAATTTTTTTTATTCGAAACTAATTTCAAAGGAATTGGAAACATTTTTTACAAAAATCAATCACCTTTAGAATTGAGGGTCATTTCGAGATTGGAAGCGTTCATAAAAATTATAAATATGGGCGCTTATTAAAAATAAATTGTGAAAAATTTTACGCGAATATAACAATCTTATGTAAATGTCATAGAACGTGAAAATTTTCTGTTTCGGCTATGGAAAGGTGGAAACGGTTCACAAGGAGGGACACAGAGTTGGTGATTTTAAATTCAGCATATACTGATTTTCCAGAGTTACAAACCACTTTTAAAACCGGAAATAAATTTTCAATTTATATAATACGCTCAAAATTTAATTTGCTCTTAGGTAAGACCGAAAGAACCAACCCCATCCTAGTTTCGGTTCAAGTAGAGATTTCCGTTCGGATACAGTATGATGGAATTAGTATATTGGATAGGCTGATTATTTGATTTTTACTATTTTCGAATCCTTTCGAATATTGGAAGTTTTGAACGAGAAGGACAATTCTCTATTACATTAAATATCCAATTGACGATGAAGAAATTTTCATACTTATATTTCACCATTTAAGAATCTGCATTTCATGCTACGAAATATAGAATTAAATTTCTAAAAATTTGCCAGGTGACATATCCTGATGACAAACCGTTATTTTCTTTAATAATTAAATTCCGTAATCATTAAATTGCAAAGTTTTCTGTCATTATCCATAGACAAAGGTATGGTTATCGTCATCATCAGATTTTTTTACAAAAAAATTCGGTTTGTTTATTCAAATTTAAGATTTTATGAGTTATTATGGCTTGTACAAATTGCTTGAATCTGCATCATCGTACGAAAAAAGCCTTAATGTACCTAGCTCTGAGATTATTCTATAAAGTTGTTATAAAAATTCATTAATAATATTGTAGTTGGATATGTCCTTATTGATCAAATAATTATTTAAAGTTTCTAGTTTTCACCACCGTCACCAGCAAGTAGTTTTATAACGGGATTATCGGTTTCAAAAGCTTTTTTATCAATTACATCATGTGCAATTACTGGAAGCTCAGAGAAGCAACTCTTCAAAATTTTCAAAATCTTGATGTTGCTAAAAATTGTTCAAAAGTGCTATTGGTTGCTGCCGTACAATATGCAATGAGGCACTTTAATTGAAAGTTTACCTATCTTTGATAATTTAGTCCATCCATTTTATATCATTCATTAAATTGTGCATACTATCGGTAAAGCATTTGTGATTTTTAATTTTCTGAAACTCAATTGTACTAAGCAAAAAAAATAACAAGAATGATTAGCAAATATTATATTTTATTTGGCGCATGAACAAGAGCGATCTTTGAAGCATATGTAATTCTAAAAAAAAAATAATTTACAAATGTAACTTTCTTCACTTCTTTGGCACATAAACGCCAGTTGAAATATTTAATATTTTTGAGTTCTAATTTAAATATATAACTCTAATATCGCCATTAAACCCATTGTATAAAGATCGTCCAATATACTTTCACAATCTAACGTTACCATTATGAAGTGTATAAGCAAGATGGTACTTTTATTAACAAAAGTACGTCTCTCGAGCCTAGTTGCACGGGATATCCTTCCCTAGATGAATATAAATTTGTTAAGACATGTTTCTTAGCTTTTTATAAATAATGGCTCAATGAGAAGCATGACTCTGAAACTTAATCGTAATGTCTATGATAACTCATCTTTCACCGTGGGCAAGTCAGCATGCTCAAAGAAGTTAATTGGTTCGGCTCACTCTTTGACAATAATTTTCTTTCTTTCTGAAATAATATTATATTATACTTTTTATTCATTAATCAAATTAATTTTTTATTTAAAAATACATCGTTTTGAAATTGAAATTTTCACCAGACATTAAAGGTCATGTCAAAAAACCGCTTTGTAACCCTGATTTAGAGAATATTTATGTGTGAAATTCAATTTATGTAACGAGTTAAGTGAGTTAAAAAAAAATAGTGATGTAAAAAAATATTGAAGGTTTTATAAGAATATGCGTTGATGATCCGAATCACGGGTTAATTCTCAATTCTGATGATTCAGTTAAATTCGAATTAATTCGAATTAGGTCTTTTTCTGAAATTAAATAATTAGTTATTCACTTAAATTATTACGAAGCATACATTTACTCTGAATTAGAATTTTCGTAATGTAAATTAAAATGTACTAAATTTAATAAATAAAATAAAAGAAAAAAAAAAAAAACTGAAAATTAGTACGGGCAAAACTATTTGGATTGCGGTATGGAAGTCAAGAGAGATCCTACCCTATTATTAAATTATTTCTAAAGTAGGTTTATCCTATGGAGTATGCGAACTCACCTTTACTGATGATGTAATCCACATCAACGAGCACGACGCTCACTTATATACCAATTCCACAAAAGTTAAGAAAATAGAATCCTATAATCAAACCTCAAATGGGTTTGTACTCAATGTTACTATGCACTGGTATCAAAATAATTGTGGTTGGTCATTTGACCTAAAAGTAAATAATTCTGCGAGGAAAGTTACGCCAGTTACTAGTAAACAGCCTCCTTATACCTGTGCGGACAGCCCAACCACGTTGCGAGTTGATCTGAACACCAAAGTTTTGAGTATTGCAGAAACTCCTAATCCAGAATATCCTTTTTCTTTTAACCTTGCTATACATTATTTTAAATTAATTGCAACATAGACAACAACACCGAAATAACTAGCAAAGATGATAAAAATAATTTTAATTGCCTCTATGCTTATTCCGATAAAATGTATGATTATGGAGCTATCTTTAATTTTGAAAATGATGGGGCTCGATGGCCATTACTTGGACAAAAACCTGCTGCTTTATCTATAGTTGCAACAGTAGGTAATGCTTTTACCTTTTATCAGAACCACTAACTAGGAATTAAATATTCTTTTAGTAACATTTCTGAAAATATGTATAATCATCTAACTGATTTTGCTCCATACTATAATCGTGCACCGGATGATTCATTATGATATTACTGGCATACTATAGTTATTCACTGATCATTTTAATTTGTATTTACTCAAAGTAGGAACAATCTTTGTTGACTCAGTTTCTAGTATGTGTATACTGTTATCAAGTATATGGTATATATATTTTTTTTAAAATATATATGTTCTTATTTATTTATATATTTATTTTTGTTTAATAGATCAACCCAATTTTTCTTGATAAAAATGGAAAATTACCCAATTTGATTAATGGAGAGATTGATGTATTCACACCTTCATCTTATTGGCTTGCAGCACCTTTTTATGAGCCCATCGAATAAGTTAATTTTGCTAGTGTAGATGTTATGAACTTTGCACAACCTACCCTTAATGCAGCAGTGGCAAGCACCATCCTCAATCATTATGGCTTTACATATTGTGACCATATAGATCAAAATCTCTGTGGTACACGTTGTTCGGCAGAAAGTATTGCCACTCCAGTTGGAGGTGGTTGCGTTGTTCATGGTAGATATAACTGTGGTCAGTTAGTATGTTACAAAAATTGTGTATTCGGAGGTGTTTACACTTAATATGCCTTCCAATAATAGTAGTAAAGAAATAATTGACACTTTCAAAATGTTAACTTTTACTTTAAATAACTTTTATTTATAATCATAAATGCTTTTAATAATGTAATATTTTAAAAAATGCATTTTTCTATATCTAGCTTATTAAATTAAATATATTAAATATTTAGCGGTACAATTTTCGTTTGATATATCACGGTAATTGCGTCATGTTGATATTTCACGGAAAATTCAACTACGATAGTGAATCTGGTAAAATATCAATATGGAACATCACGGGAGAACAATTAGTAAGCGGATAGTTATACCTCTTTAAAGTAAAGTAGAATTAGAGTTTCTTAAGAGTAAATGGTTTTTAAATCCCAATCATCTTTTTGTTCTTCGTCATTCCAATTGCATCTGAAAATTGGACCATCAATACTACTAAATCCTCCCTCAACAATAAATTCTGTATCTTTGACCTTATTATATGGAACAAACTCTAATTTATAAAGAAATTAACTTGCGTATATTTGAATTCGTAAATAATTAGTTTCCACTTTGAATAGAAATTAAAATTTGCTATAAAAGGAACGGCAAAATCTTATGATTCTCTTCAGAAGGTTTCTTCTTTGTTACATTCAATAATTTCTCAAATTTAGTTTTTAATTGTCGACATGATGTGTCATTTGTCAAGACAAATACGAATGACGTTGCGTTGATTAATGAATTACGATTCATGACTATTAAAGTTTTGTTTTCATACAATAAAAAAAAAACACATATATATACTTTATTCATTGTATGATTCATTCTCAAAGAAGTTCTGTATCAAATAAAAGAAATTCCATAAATGCCTTTATTTCCGATAATTATCGGATCTTCTAGAATTTAAATATACTGTCTGTTATGTTTTTTAATTTCTACAAGTGAATTAAGTAAATATGTAAAATGATAAAAAATAAATAAAATGCTATTCTATAAATTTTTTTTTTTTTTTTGACATTTTTATTTACCAAAGCATTCAAATTTATTTTAAAGTATTTGTTCTTTTATTAATTATTTTAATAAATTTTTTTTTATATAAAAATTTTATAAATTCTTAAACAAAAAAATTATAAAATTATGGTCATGTTTTTAAAATAAGTTGTTTAGAATTTTAGAAAAAAAGTATTATTTTTAATCCTATATAAAAAGTTTATATAAAGTTGATTATATAAATAAAAGTTTATAAAGAGAAAAAAAAATATGAATTTTTAGTAGTTATTTTTAAAAGTCAAGGGACAGCCGAGACTTTTCCGAGAAAATTTATAAGGATTTGAAAAGCCAACCACATTTTATATATAGGTAAAAAATTATGTCGCTATATTCGGAACACTTATTTGAACGTAGCGATAATGTTTTTTCTTCAAAAAATCCTATACCGAGATTTTTTTATCGATCTGCAAAAATGTTCGTCCGTGACTTTTGAAATTAGCTGTAAAAGGAAAAAAATTTGAAGCAAATCATTCAGTCGCTGCGCCTGAAGTAATCCGCCAAAAAAACGAATAATATAAGAAAAGCTCTACCTACCTAGTGAACCAACCCGAAAGAAAAAGAAAAAGAGAATATAATGAAAAGATAAATCAAAAGAAAATATATACCTAAACGGTCCAACTGGAAGAATCTTCTAATAAAAAAAAAAATAAAATAATAATAATAATTAATTTTTATTATACAGCCCGAAGCTAAAAAGAAAATTAGTAAACAAACCACAATCAAACCCGAAAGATAACGTCTAAAAAAAATTAATGAATAAAATAACAGTTAGCAAATAATAATAATAATAAAATAAAATAAAAGCCCTTATCGTAGCAGATAATTGACCCTTCGTCACGAATCTGAAAAAGAAAAAAAATAAAAATTAGAATAATTTACAATCAAAAAAAAAAAAAAAAATAATGTAGTTATTATATATCAAATCACGTTGCAAACTAAAGTTATAAAACCAACCAACCCAAAAATATAAAAAATGATTCTAAAAAATAATGTTTTATTCGCTGAAACTGAAGCAACCGAACTAGTAAATATAATTAAATAAAAAATAAAAGCGGACTCACCAAATCCTGATGAGGGCGCATGATATTTTTTATTATAAAACTCTATACTAAGCTAATAGTAAGTGAAAATGAAATAATTTTTTATTCTTTTTATTCTCGATCTAACCAAATTTAGTTTCCAGAAATAAAATGTGTAATACATTATAATTCTACTAACTTCACAACGCCTACATTAAAACCTATCATTACTAACAAAACCCCACATTACGCAAAGTTTAAATTAGGCAATAACAAGTCCTG